CCACCCTGCAGCCACGGGCAGCTCCGCTTCCTCACAGGCAGCAGGAAGATCTACGCAACACACAGTATTTTTAAACTCCCTGATTAATTAAATTGGTGCAGGGCAAAGCGATCTGCCAGGTCAGCCAGCCACAGGCAGCTGTCAAGCGCAGCCCACCTGCCTTCCCCCGCAACGCCGGGGTCTGGTGCTCTCGCGAACAGGCAGCGCGTTCCCAGCGTGGCACCGGCACAGCAGACAGCGCAAGAATCCGGCTGCTGCTCCGACGCGTGTCGTCAGGCCCTCCCGAGCCAGCGAAGCGCTGGAGAACTACGAGGCGAACACCACAACCCGCATTTATAGATGGAAAATCGCCACGCAGAGAGGGGACAGGCTGGGTAATCCCGCGCTGCTCCGTCCTGAGCCCCCTCCTCGCGCCTCCGACCTGCAGCCCGCGGCGAGCTCGGGCACGGCGACAGCGACGCGGGTTCACAGCACTGCGACAGAGCAGGCTGCAGGCAGGGGGGGACGCTGCCGGCATTTCGTACCTCTAGGTCCCGGGACACTCTACAGCCCACCTGAAAAGCGCAGCTATTACTTTTCCACTGACACATTCAGGCTAATTTTTCGCCTTCCCGCAGAGAGGACGCATCGCAGCAGAGGCAGCAGCCTGCTACCACACAATCCTTCCCACGTGCGTCCCTTCTGCCCACCCTCCATTAACACGGGAACACATCTGCTCTCTTTGCACCTGGGGGATCATTTTCATGACTATTGCCACTGCAAACGCCAATGATAGCTGCATCTTCCGACAGTGCTTGGGGCAAGAAATCATTCTGCCACTAGAGATGATATGTAATTTTATCAATACTGCTTTAAATCAGAATTCCGTTTGCTGTCTTAGATGATTTCTCCCTCATTCAGAGCTACGGGCTGCAAGACTAATTCCAGTAAATAAAGTGAACATATATAATAAGGTGAGTAAGAAAATGAGGAAAACACCATTTGCACTTTTTTTCTTTTCTAATCCTAACTCTCCTTCGCCAAACACGAGTCAGTAGTTTTAACTAAGAATGAAGAGGGAACATCTGTCCCTGACTCAGTAAGTTATGAGCTGTCTGGGACCGCTTCTGTTGCCTCCAATTCTGCAAAAGGGACCGAGAGTTTTCACAAAAATACCTTCTATACAGAAGTCACCCTGAACCATTTGGACGTGGCGCAGCAGAGCGCTCGCAGCCGGCATCTGACCGCGCAGGACGCTCGACCGCGCCGCTGCTCCCGCAAGCCGGGCAGTGCCTTTGGGGCTAAGGGCACGGCTCCTTCCCGTCCAGCTTCGCTCCAAGCCCCCCTCTCCTCCC